AGCAAGTGCAGTGCCCTCCAGACTATTGAGTTGCGATCGAAGACCTTTTCAAAATAATTTGTCCTACAGTCTTCACATAATGGAAAATAATTTTGCACCCTGTTCTATTGATTTCTATTCAATCACTCCGTATATGAATAGAAAGAAAATAATGAAAAAAAATCACTCACCTTATCTAAAAAGAAGAACAGCATCAACAATACAAAACATCACAGTCTTTTTATTGCTGGAAAATTCCACCAGAACTCACTATCACACACACACACACACACACACACACACACAAACGTTTCACTATAATCACTCAATGACACCATACATTTTGATTCCCACGTGTAAACAATATAAGTTATTTTTTTAAATCAATGAGATCGACTGCACGCCATGAAATCTAATACATTACTGCGTCGCCACCGGTATCGGATGCATGATTAACCTCCATAGTGATTCATCAGTTACGTCATCATTCTAACCGAATAATTCTCGAACAGGAATTGTATTTTTTACTAATCACATCAAAAATAATGTATACGAGGTGTGGTTTAGAAAGAAATTCAATATACAGTGTCATCGTTTAAGTCCGTATCATGAGAATATGTTTATTCACGCAAATTTGATGTTCATGAATTGTTTTGTCTCTGAAAATGATCCAAAATTCCGTCAATCTCGAAGTTTGTATGAAAAAATAACAAATAAAGTGGGTCGTTTCACAAAATTTTATATCCACTTAACAAATTTCAACAATTTTAATTTTTTTCCTCAATTTTCGGGCCATTGTGATTTCTAATCTATAATCCATTGAATATAGAAATGTAACATCATTTGAGGAAAAAATTGAATCCTATTGCTGGTATTATTCCAGTCTTCTATTCTTCTGCCTAGCGTATCTTTCAGACTGCTGCAGATGCCCCTATGAATATGCATCAATGCCAATCCATTTAACCTGTCTTGGACCATTCTGGATCTTATCCAATCTTTCAGCCTTCTGAGTGTTGAAACAGAAGATGCAACACTTACAGGCAGGCAATATAATGGTTCCAGAACAGTGGCGTAGCTAGGTAACCAAGGGCCTTGGGACAGATTAAAAAATGGTGCCCACTGCTATCCAGAACAGTGGCGTAGCTAGGTAACCAAGGGCCTTGGGACAGATTAAAAAATGGTGCCCACTGCTATGTAAACTGATTAGGTTTCATCAAATGAAAATATGAGATATACAAAAACTTTGAAAATGCTAAGCTACTTATGCTCCTTTTTGTGCACTGCAGGGCAGGTAATAAAAATATTAAACAGTAACAACATAAATTTCACTAAATACTTGGTGTACGTTTGGCTAATAATACAACGAAATATTCAAAGGTTTATTATATAAAGGTCGGGCCTACCAACTGACTAAATAACAATTATATTTTTTTCCTAGATTTAGTTTTCGCAAAACTATCAATGACTTCGTTCAAATCCAGGCTTGAGGCGGTGTTGTTTTCAATTGCTATATTAGCGATAAATGTCGGAGTCGGGTTTGGCCAATATTATTTCTCAAATAATTTTTTATTATTTTTAATTTGCTGAATGACCTTTCAGCTGCTGCAGAAGTGACAGGAATTGTAAAGAATGATAGCATTGCTGTAAATACTTCCGTTAGGTCGCATTCTAGCACTCCATATTTGCTCATTATTTCCTTACATAATTGGAGAACAGTCCATGATTGTGTTAGTTGAGGTAAAACTAGGTGGTAAATATTAATAAATTGAAGTGAAAAACTAGGGCCTATTATTTCTGAATATTTTCTTTGGAATTCGTCACACTTTTGTAATAAAGTTCCTTCATCAACATGTAATAAAAATGTTGGTGTTAGAAAATCGAATATATGACAGACTGCACTCATACCAATGAAACGTGTATCTAATTGAGATATTACTGGTGGAGACCATGAACGATTTTCTGCCCGCGAACCTGAATGCAGGTGACTTGTATTTTTTCACGATATTTCGCGTTACACAATGAGCTGTAGCCGAAATCTATACATTTGACACGATTTATTGACTCAACGGACATCAATATGATATGAGTGGCAAAATCAGATAAAATTGAACCACTATATTGCCCGTACAAAAAAGTTTATTGACATTAGCTTATTTACCCCTGATACAGCATTAATTTTTTAACCGTTCTCGAAAAAAATCTTAACTCGAATTCACAATAAAACGCACATTAATGAATAATAAAATGCACATATCACTATCCGTCAAATTGACAATACTGCCAACCTACAGTAATGATTTAAGGGAATTTCCTTAGGCATAACTTTTGGATTTCTCTCATCTGAGTAGTGGGGTCGAGATCGAGATTTCTGGTAGGGATTGTAGGGCCCCCTGAGCTCGAGGGCCCCCTGAGCTCGAGGGCCCCGGGGCACTGCCCCGCCTAGCCCATGGGTAGCTACGCCACTGAAGAATCTAGAAGAATGTTTATGTTAGGAAACGAATGTTTGTTAAATTCCTTCAGGGCAGTTATACCATTGTTTGGTATATTTTGCTTAGTATCCCTCAGTTTCTTCCATATATACATTTCAGAAACGATCTTCTGAAAGGACATTTCATTATTCATCAATGGTCGGAAATTGATCAAGTATATTTCTCATACCTCATATTATTATATTTCTCATCTGTTTTGTTTTTAGTTATTGATGGCACACTAAGGTGAAGGTTGTATAGATTCAATTTATTTTCTGATAGTCTATCATTCAGATCGAGGATAATACTGGGATAAAAACAGTTATTATGTAATGGTCATCCACTGAGGAAACCGTAGGATTCGGTCTATGAACCAGTCTCCCTGTTATTCTCGGCATCAAAAATTCAACATTCAGTTCTTTTAATTTCTGTTTGGCTCCATATATTCGAAATACGTAGATAGTATTTAGAATATCATCCCTTTCATTTTGAAGTGTCAGAAGAGTGATACTAAGTTTTTTGTTTGGAGCAAATTACTGAGTTGCAGTGTTATGGAAAATATATTTGCCAAACAGCACAGAGTGATATTACAAATTCGCAATTTCTCAGAGCTGTTGCGAAGTTTGTAGCTATGAAGACATATACACTAATTTTTTCATTTATTCAAAATACAAGTCTCTGACTTTCGAGGGTTGCTTTGCAACTAAGCTGGCGGTTAAAAACACTTTTAAACACAAACCTACATTTTTACATATCCATGAGGTTTCCGAGGGGGGAGGGCATGCCCCCCCCTGGATCCGCACCTGTGTACAATGTATATGAAATATACATTTCTTCAGTTCTTCGTCCAATATAGGGGTTTACGTTGCGATGACGTCTCTCCAGAAAAATGTCCAGCAGGGGAAAAGATTATTCTTCAAGGCAAATTAACTGCTTGGTTTAGTGGCAGATGGCAGCTAAAAGATGCGCCGCAGGATAAATTTTTTTCTGTCGAATGCCGTCAAATTAAATGTTTGGATTTTCACCGGATATGAACAGCTACAAATTATAAAATAATATTCTGTTAGTTAATATAAATATAATAGATATCCAAAATGTAGTAGAAGAAGGCTCTTTCAGTTCATCAGGAGATAACATGTCCGGATATGTAATAGAATAAAAAACAATTCACTGAAAGAAAAAAAATTGAATAATAACCTTTCACGAAAAAAATGACAGAAATTTCATCAACTCCTTACTACCAATCAATTTATTTCTTCTTATTTCATCACATTTGGAGAGACAGTTGATAATAATAAAGGAGTATATAGTTTTCCATGTGTAATATACAGGATTGTTCACGTTATTCGACAGGAAACATTTTGGCTACAGCATTAAATTTTTTTCAAGTGATTTTTTTCGGATCAATAGAGCGCTACAGTTCGGAAATATTTTTATGTATGTACTGGGTGTGCCAAAAACAAGAAATGTATCAAAGTTGATATTTTTGTAATGGAATTACCTGTATATTATTGTATTTCTAGATTTCCCATGAAGAGCTGATTTCTTAAATGTATCAAACTTAGGGTCTAGCGGGAATTATCACAGAGATAAAGAGTGTTCAAAATGGAGATTTTTCAACTTTAGAATTTTTTTGTGCTGAAACTATTCATTATTGCGTCAAAACACACCCCAAGTATGATGTATTGATAAAATCAGCTCTCCAGGGAGAATCTGAGAATGCAATAATATAAAGGGCATTCCATATGAAAAATAGCGACTTAGATAAATTTCGTGTTTTTGGCACACCCTGTACAACATGATCATATTTTCGAAATGTTTCGCTGACAGGTCCCTATAACGGGAATAACCCTGTAACCCTGTAAGTTAGCTCACCCTATGAATTCCATTAGTTCCATTGCTTTCAGATCAGAAATTATTTATTTGCAAATGAACCTCGAGACTTATCGAAAATTAACACGATAATAAAAACATTTCTGAAGGGAATATCTTTCTGGAAATACAGAACTGGCAGTTTCCAGCTCGACCTCTGAAAAGTTATCACCAAGTTTGTACGGCAACATGGTTGTTTGAAACACTTGCAGGTCACTGATGATGATCAAAAACATCTCAAAGCGTGACTTACAGTCACAGAACATGCCATGCAAAGAATTATAAAAATCGATTCTAGCTTACTCTTTTTATGAGCAAAATTATTTTTTCCAAAAAAACTTCAACGCCTTGTACCAACTCAACGAGACGATATTGTATGAAGGTAAGTTGGCGTAAATCAACTTGATTTTATCCCAGGAGTCCACAGTCGGGCCATGTCCCAACCTTTTACAGACACCCTGTATAGTACATGGCATACACCCAACGATTGGATGCACCAAGTGAAATGTTATGGACGCCCATGATTCATGACAAATTACTATTCAATAATCCAGTTGTATCAACATATACCTACTTTTTAGCACATGTAAATGAGCTGAAATAAAGTGAAATATATCATCTTTTTTTTTTCAATTTATTGTAAGGTGAATTCCTAGGAGGAGTTGATTGAAAAATAAAAACATGTTCCCGAATTATGCAAATTCTCTGTTGATTGTACTTCTACTGTGGATGATTCAGACCAGTTACATGCAGGATAACTATTTTTCTTATCCAAATTTGTATAATTTGAGATTTGTTACTGGTGGAACAATGGGGGTAAGTGAAGAAAGCAGTAAGCATACCTACTTAGAACTTGTACCTGTACATAATATCACGGAAAAAGGGATTTGTTGCATCAACAAATTATTTGTGCTTGAATTATTTTCGTTGGACTGAGCAATTTTTTGTTGAATCAACCAGATACATGATAATTTCATGGAAGCAGCTTGTTCAGATCAAGAATGTTGTTTAATTGTATCAACAGTATAATATTAATTCCATCAACAAAATATATGGTTTTCTCAAAAACAAATTATGTCGATCCAAAATAATGTCGATGTTGATTTAACTATAAACATTTTGTTGATTTGATGAAATAATGATTATTTTGATGAGAATTGAAACAACATACAAGTTTTCTTATTCCGATGTAGCAATGAACTCGTTTCGAACGGATCATTTGCTTGAATAGAGCAACGAAATATGTAATATCAATGAAATACTTTGTTTTGTCTACAATCTACATCAAGTTGAACTTTCGCCTCTAGATGGCGATCATTTCGCCTCGTCTATGCCTGCCTCGAATTCATTATAGGCATACGTGAAGCCTGATTCTTCGTATTTGAAATATCAGCTGGATATATCGAACTTAGGATGATTAGCAATCCGAAATAGTTTTGCATCAGCTTAAGAGAAGGAAAGATAAATAAATTTAAGAAAAATCGAATTTTATATTTTTCAGTTTTATGCAGCTGTGATAATGCCAGTTACACTAAAATTGGAAAGTGCTTACATGGGTTGGTTTTTCGAAGCTATATACAAGGTACCTACCAATGAGTCCTCCTTTGAATTTCCCCCTCTTGTCGAAAGACACATTGACAGAAAATTTGTCTACGGTGTAGTCCAACATAAAATTGAAACGTAAGTTAATTAGAGTATGTACAATGGGACCAATACCGTTCCTCATAAACAGTATAACCAAAATAAATAATGTGAAATGCTCACATAATATGCTACGCAGACGACACGGCACTTATTTGGCTCGACAATGAAGTGCAATGATCTTATCTCACAAAAATTGGGGCGCTTGCCGGTTTGCATACGCCTAGGTCACTCCCCAAGGGCGGCATACGAACCGGAAGTGGCAATTTTTCAGTGTTATAGTCGATGATCTAAGAATGTATGCCCTTTGGCGAAACAATGAATTTGGACCCATTAATCAATTTCCCGACATTTGCATACGATTCGGGAGAGGGAAGCTCGACTTATTCGAACATCATTTGACTGGATATATCCTTCAAATAATCGATAATCGAAGAAATGTTCAAATTTTGACCATGGTTAGTGGACCACACAGTTTATATGAGATGATGGTTTGCATACAATTTGCACATTCCGTACAGGGTGGTTCACCATAAATATCTCCCATTGTAACTTAGGTGTTTCTGAACCGATTTTAAAATTTCAAAAACCAATCAAAATGATTTTCCTAAGAGACTTGTCATTGTTATTAAAAAATTCACAGGCTGTTCATAACAAATTAACTATGGGCTTGTTGTTAATTTTTTTTACTGGAACACTAGGTATATGTTATTTCACAATCGAGTTGGGATTATCATGACGAATACAGCTCTACAGCATCAAGCGATACCATTTACACGCAGCACTCTTATAGTGATCATGCGCCAAATTGTCAAATTGTGCCAGAAATATGAATCCCGGGTTTGAAGTATTTTCTTTTTTTTTTGCTGAAACAACGGTGGGTACGATTTCAATTGGTACCTTGGTGAAGCCCTTCCAGCAGAGGTTGGTGACATTATAATCTCTGAGACTTCAACTGATCAGTATCAGGTATATCTTTCGATCATGCCAAGATTTTTCAATAATTATATCTATTCAAAATAACATTCTTACTAACAGGGAGAGCGAAGATGACTCTGAAGATAATGATAGAGAGGACGACGTATAATTTTTCCTTTGAAATATAATGTTGTTTTCATTTAATATAATTTCATTTTCGAATAATTTTTTTTTATGTGAAAAACAAAAATGTAGATTAAAGTTCAGGATACAGACCCCACACTATACCCAAAACATTCAACAAATTGAATCTACATTCTTTATATATTTTTTTGGCGCCAGTATTATGATAAGCAGTCCCATAAGCCCCAGGGAAGAATTTCAATTCGATTTATTGTGAGTTTCGATCATGAGCAATAATCCACCCCTCTTCTCCCTGTACGATTTCTCTTGATCATCCTGCGAGTATTTTGTCGTCATTTTTTTTATCATCTTTTCAAAGCCCTGTTTTTCAAATTAAAATCACAGAAAAATTTCTTGGTACTAAACCTCTCACACATGTAATTTTGTTGAGCTGTGAATTTCTGATGAATAAATACAAATATATCTGCAATTTGCGTCTTCGAATACCCCCATCACTCCCAGGAAGTTAATCTTTGACCCGGTTTCATGTGAAGTGAGATTATGAGACTTCCAGATTATCTAGTTCGCTTTCGGTGCACCTCTGGCTTGCAGTGCGGGGCGCCGCGCCGGACCGAGGCACGCGCGGGTTTGCCCGATTATTACAACGTATGCTCACATTGAATTCGTATGCAAATAGCATCCAGTAATACAGAATATCCTAGTTTATCGGTCCTGAGATGTGCATACGAACTTAAATCATCGATTATTTGAAAGATGTCTAGTCAATTGATGTTCGAATAAGTCGAGCTCCCCTCTCCGGAATCGTATGCAAATGTCGGGAAACTGATTAATGGGTCCGAATTCATTGTTTCGCCAAAGGGCATACCTTTTTAGATTATCGACTATAACACTGAAAAATTGCCACTTCCGGTTCGTATGCCGCCCTTGGGGAGTGACCTAGGCGTATGCAAACCAGCAAACGCCCCAATTTTCGTGAGATAAGATCATTGCGCTTCATTGTCGAGCTTCTTCTAGAACAAAATTTTGAACTTTTTTCCAACCGAAAGGTGAGGGCAGGGCCGGGGCAAGGACTGGGTTGCGACTCTCCAGGACACCCTCTAGTCCGTTCTTCGAGCTTCTCCATGGGGATCTCAGTTATTATAAGATATACGAGGTCGGTTAAATTAGGGCAAAGTTGGGAATTTGTATGCTGAACATTTATCTGCAAGAAAATTCGATGTGTCATTTCTAGTTTTAAAATTATTGGAAGATTTCGGCTAATGGGATCCTATCATTTCATTGAATTTTAAAATATTTCAGGACAGGTTACCCGGGGAAATTCTGTTTATTGAGGACGATTTGCGAATTGGCTATAGATCCTCTCCACAAAACGAATGGTGTCATTGATGATTTGATTCATATTATTCTCACGTAAGTTGAATTTATACGGTATACTATTCAATATTACCCCCCCCCCCCCCTTTATTTTTCGAATGGGTCAACTCAAAATATTGGAAGTTGGGATAATAAGATTGAAGCATCATTACCATATTTTGGAGTGAAATTAACAGATGAAAATTTCAAGATAGCTAATACCTCACAACCCTATAATATTGAGTCAATATCTTCACCTTATAGAAAATGGTGAAACATTCAATAGATGCGAATCCTAAGGAATTCGATATGGATAATGTGTTTCAACAAGATAAAGCACCACCGCATTGCTCCAGACAGGTAAGAAACTATTCTGAGTCTAAGGGTTTATTTTTATTTTTAGCTGGAGCAATACTTGTCAAATCATTGTTTATAATAAGGAACAAGGTTGGAGATAGTAAACTGCCTTATCAAGGCTTAAGGTAACCAGATGTCAGTCGAAAGGAGGGTGGATTTTACACCATTTGCATATACAATTTGTTGGCGATAGCGAAGATATGATTTTATCCAGCATATTGCTGGACCCCGTATTCCGATTTTTTCTAGCTTGAAGAACAATGTTTCATGTTGAACCAAGTCAAACGCCCGACTAAAGTCAAAAAATGAACCTACAGTATCTTCCTCACTATCTGATGATTCTAGTTAGAATTCCACACTTTCAGAGATTGCCGTTTCTGTACTCCTCTTTTTCAAAAATCCGTGTCGAAATGGAGCAAGGATTATATTTTTGTATTAACTTCATATTCTAGGACTGTGAAGTATTTTTCAGGAGCTCCGAAAGGATGTGTAACAACCCCCTCCTTCTGATTTAATTTTTTTCCAGATGCTCAGTCGTCAGCTCGAAATTTTCATCTGTCAATTTCACTCCAAAATATAGTATTAATGCATCAATTGGATTATTCCAATTTTTTGAGTTGACCCGTTCGAAAAATATAAGGGAGGGATGATGAAGAAAAGCACTGTATATCAAAACACATGAAACCTCTATACCTATATATACTTATATTTTTTCGCACAAGAAAATAAAAAGATGTTTACGTACCTAGTTAGGAAACGCGTCATTTTGTGTAACAATGGAATTTTGGATGGACGCAGAAATAATTTCTACATGAGGTTACCGATAATCTACAAAATTTATAAATTATTTTGAATAACACAAAAAAATCATGGGCTGTTTCCTTGTGATATTCTAGCAAATAAAGTTTATATAAACATGTGTCCTAACTTGCTCCGTTTTTGAGATACAGTATGTTGAAGTTGGAAGTAATAATCAATTAATCAAGCTTTCATGGTGCCAAAATTCAGTATGGATAAAGACTGAGAAAGCCCAAAATTTCGAAATGATTCTAATTGGGGTTATTGAGTAATCTCATTGGAAATCTTGAAAACACCTATACCGGGTGTCAACGAATCTATTAGACAAGTCATAACTTCTAGACCATTAGGTGTATCAAAATGAGATTTGGTATAGATTACTGGTATGCGAAGTGGAGAGTTTTCACATATTTTTCACTTTCCGGTCACTTCCGGTTTCACCGGAAATGGCTCCGGTTCTAAATTTTTAAAATGAACACCCTGTATATTGTAAAATTTTTGGATTCCTGAGACAATTTTAGATCAGAATGTGACATTTTCGAAATTTTTGTGCCTACTTAGTTTTTTCAGAGTCACTTTCGAAATTACATCTAGGTGGCCATGATCGAAAGTAAACTAATCTAAGGAGCTCAGGTGATACCAGAAAATTACAGTCGCGAAGTTTCAGTGACAAGTATGATAAATATGAATAAGACAAGTTGACAAAATTACATTTTCGTGCCTATAACTATTATTTTTCATATGGCGACCATTTTTTGACAAGTACTTTTCGAAAAAAGGATGTTTTGACGAATCTAACGATACTAATTTATTTGCGATTGGATTACTAATAAGAACATTGAATATCACTGACGAAAATACTTCATAATCATTTATTTACTTTCGTCAAGTGTACAAATTTAATAAAATTAACAATAGCTTAAGCGATGCACTTACATTGTTTTTAAATTTCCTAATTTCATAAAATTTTCACTATAGTAAATTTTCAGAGTGCATTCCTCCTTGTTGAAGACACATTTCAGCTCGTTCAACTGTTTCTCTCTACACGTTTCGTAACAATTGTGGCGGTTTACTTCTTAATGCCTGTAGAATCCTTTCTTCTAAGATTTCGAGAGTGGCTGTGGCTGTTGGCTGTTGCATAGTAGACCCTTTCTTTAACATATCCCCAAATGAAGGAATCTAGCACAGTCAGATCCAGTGAGCAGGCAGGCCACCGTACTGGTCCATTGGTTGCAATAACTTGATTATTGAAATGCTCTATTAAGTAATCAAGAACGTATCTGGTATTATGAGGGGGTAGGTAGATTATTTTGACGGAAAATTAAACTAAAATTCAACGAAAATCAAGAAAACTTCACCTTCTCCTCTTGAAGCTTATGTCACTGTCATAACCTAAATGTGTGTTTAGTTCTCCCAAGAAGACTTGATCGAAATAACTGCAAAATATTATTATGAAGTATTTTCGTCAGTAATATTCAATTTACGTTCTCATTTGTGATCCAATTGCAATAAACAAATTATGAGTATCATTGGATTCGTCAAACTATTCTTTTTTTCGGAAAGTGCTTGTCAAAAAATGGTCGCCATTTGAAAAATATTAGTTAGACACGAAAATGTAATTTTGCCGATATCACCTGAGGTCCTTAGATTAGTTTACTTCCGATCATGGCCACCTAGATGTAATTTCAAAAGTGACTCCGGAAAAATTAAGTAGGCATAAAAACTCTCGAAAATGTCACATTCTGATCTAGAAATGTCTCAGAGCCGGAGCCATTTACGGTGGAACCGGAAGTGACCAGAAAGGAAAAATATGTGAAAACTCTCCTCTTCACATACCAATAATCTGTACCAAATCTCATTATGATACACCTAATGGTCTAGAAGTTATGACTTGTCTAATAGATTCGTTGACACCCGGTATATACAAGTCAATAAAATATCACAAGGAATCAACCCTTGATATTGTTCGGTGTTATTTAGATACACCCTGTATGGTCAAAATTCAACGACGAAATTCACAAGAAAGGCTAGTTTAATATCTTTATTCAGTGCCGGATTTATACTCCCTTACGCCGGGGGCTAACTTTTACGATGCCGCCGCGCCGCCGCCAAATATTTAATTTTCAATTATCAGTTTCAAAATCAAAATTCAAATAATCCTTTCACTACTTCTTTAACAATAACATGAAATCATTTTTTACAACGAATCAAACATAATAACAAACAACAAGATACTTTTCTTGATTTTTTTGATGCAAAGTCGTCAGTGGCATCATCAAAATTCAGATTTAATAACATGTCACTGTTAATATTTGAAAATGATAAGATATTCAATATATCCTCTACCATGGAATTCCTAAGTGAGTTTTTCACTCTTTTTAAAGTTGAGGATGACCTTTCACTACTGACATTACTAATCATCAGGGATAGTAAAAAAATTCTAATAAGTAATGGCCAATAATCAATGAATTAGGAATTTGTTGTGATTATCCCTAAAACAACACTTACTCGTCTTTATATCTCGATCATTTCTTTTTGAGATTCTAACTCTTCTTTTTCGCGTATTGAATGTAAAAAAATACAAAACTTACCATTCCCGTCTTGAGATCGTGAGGATGTCGGAGACGGTTCTGTCGGTTCTGATTCTGTCTCATTTGAATTTAGAAAAAATGAATGTATTTTAGAGCATTTCTTGACAATTTCGTCTAACTGCTTTTGTTTATTGATCTTCTGTCGTTTCCAGAATACACTACCTTCTTTTTTACGCATTATTTTTTAAATTTCAGTTTCAATATTTATTTATCATTAGTACCAACATTACCAACGACAACCTATTAAATACTGAACTCTGATTTTGTTTTTTGTTATTGAGCGGTTTTTCTTCACATCATCATATGAAAGTATGTACCGCCGCCGCTTTTGTATCGTAGCGTCCAAGAAACAACTGACGCTAGATTAGTGCACCTTATGATTTTCACAAAAACAGTATCTCAACCAGTCAATGACTGTATTGCTGCTTGCTTTTCCTCTTTTCTCTTTTTCTCTACCGCCTCTTGAAATTCACCGCCGGGGGCTGATAGTCACATAGCCCCCCCCCCCCTAAATCCGGCACTGTCTTTATTAGTAGAAAATAACTGATTCATGTTCAGATTTTCCAAGTGATATCAAGGAAGCATATATTTATTACGTAACTGGTGTTGAAATTATATTATTATATTTTACCTTATACAACTAGTTACGTATAGAGCAAGACATTTCAAAACTTCTGTCAGTTTTTAAAAGTCTCAAATCACATGTCAAGATTGAAAAAACAATCTAAAAAACTGAATAGATGGTGGATAAGCATAAAAAATAATATTTATTGATTCAGGATACACAATGGACATGTCTTTGTTCTTCATTGCAAGCAAAATCAGACAAAAAGTTGAATCAATTTTGTAACATCGAATATGCTCGCTAGCGGGCACTCTCCCACATTCCAGGAATTTTTTCATCTCTTTCAAATAGATCACCATGTATTTCATTCGATAATCGGTTAGAGATTATCATAACGAATTCAACTATACCAGGTTTGATTGGGTTATTTCAAATGATTACGAAGATATTCACGTTCAAAGTTTTCATAAACTCAATGGGTGTGACGGCGTAATATCGAATCTTCTTTTTCTGTCACACTCATTGAGCTCATGGAAACTTCGAACGAGAATATCTCCGTAATCCTTTGAGATAACCCATTCAAAACAGGTATTGTTGAATTTGTTATAATAATCTCTAACCGACTAAGGAATAAAATACAGGGTGTTTATATTTGAAAATCGAAAGTTGATGTCATTTCCAGGAAAACCAGAAGATAAAAAAAATTAAAATGTGAGAAAGTGTGCTCTAGGGAGCATATTAGATGTTCCGAATTTCAGAAATGTAGCTAGAAAGACAAATGAGAAAAAGCGGGTATACCACGAGTCATTATCATCAGATATAGTTAGGTGTACAGATACATAATTTAATTCTGAAAAAAATATAAAATTCGACATTTGGATAATTTAATCTAGTGGTGACAGGCAATTAGTGCTCATTAAATAAACGAATTTCAAGTTACTACCGGAAATTAAAAAAACTATCATCTCTGTTCTAGACCTTCGTAGTTTTCATAGGTAATCGTAGAAAAAATATAGCTTACTCATTTCCCCAATGCGCTACGGATGACTGGACTAGAAGGGGTTCAGCTATTGGGTGGGAGGCGGTTACCACCTCATTATCCCCCCTCCCTCCTAGGCACGCGCCAATTTATTCAATTCATAAGTCATATTAGTTTGATGAACAACTTATACCTAGAATAACTTACAAAAAATGAGGTTAGATGATTATTATTCATATTTTTCCAGTCCCTCGACTACAGTAAACGCTGGTCTTCCTCCAGAATATGTGGATGCTGAAATATATGGGCGAAAAAATGGGGATTGTGACGATTATCATAAAAACTGTAGCTTGAGTATTTTAGATATTATCAGTTTTGTGAAAGAATTTCCCGTAAATTAATAAATTTGAATTCCTACTACAAATTTATGTTTTGAGTTATGTAAATTCAATTCAAGGTGCAACTTCAGGAAAGTCAATCCCAGTAAGAAATTTAGTAATTGAGATTTTCGCTATATCTCATCGCAAGGTTTTCAAAAGTATTGCTTCAAAAAGGTTATTGCAAAATTGCAAATGAAGCACAATATAATATTATTACATATTCGATATAACAAATGTCCGCTTATTGCAATCTTATAACTACTAGCACAGAACACATCAGAAACTTATGGAACAGGAATGTGCTTCTGCCTATTTATATGCCTCGAGAGAGATGGAAATGAAAACAGCAGACTTCGAATACAAAACATCATTGAGGACATGATTTTGAGCAAAATTTCGATGAAAAACATATTTTTCTCATCACTAGCTATTGAAACCTTTTATTATTTACTCCTTTTCGAGGCGTAATAGTATATTGGAGGTCTCAGATACGCGACTGGCCAATATGGCGGCCATTTCAAGATGTCTGCCAAACTATATATTAAAAACAGCCAGATCTCGGCAATTTTCCTACCGATTTTGAAAGTTTTTTTTCGTTTGTAGACCCTAACGAGCGCTATCTTTTAGATGGTCACACATTTCACGCTAAATACAACAATTTTAAATTATGGTGAAAACAAACGATTTTTGAACGAAAAACTAATTATTTGGTCTATTATTGTCATGGAAAGTAACTATAGTAGTAGTCACTGATAATAAAATACAATATTTGCAGCTCAAAATCACTATACCAGCGGGTTCTACAAGTTGAATGACGAGACATTTAATCTCTATTGACAGGTTACACAATGTCACTTTCCATAAATGGGCTTATATCACAAAACATTTTTATTTCATAATTCGATATAACTCACCCAAACTAGCTCACCACCGCAAACCGTTTCTTGCTGTGAGCTCCCTACGTTTCATAAAAAATTATTGAAATCCCCGATTTTTCGGACCTCTGAAAACGAGGCGATGATGTGACGTCAAAACCCTAATACTGAAATAAGACTATTCCAGACAGATATGAATGATACATGATTTCTGACAGAGTGAATTAGCGCGAGATCACAGTTGAAAGAATTAATATATCAGTTGCCTCAGTCTCCGTCGGGCGTTTGGTATTTTCTTTTAACTATGGCGAGATGAGGTTTCTACGTCATAAGAGGGTCCGTTTCCAGAAGGTACTATTATGTATGTCCAAAAATAGAACATTCCGATTAATTTTTCGATCGAATTATGTCGTCAATCATTATTTATGTATAAAAGGATTATTATAAATATGGTTTGAGATGAAAGTTTTAATAAGGTGTTCACGCCCATTACATCTTTCTCACTGAAAGAAAGTTAGTACTTTTTCTTTGCCAATAACACCATCACCGAGAAAGAAGCGAGAGTCCTTTTATTTTCCATTCCACTTCGCGGTTACGTACATATACCTAAACAGCCATTAAGTTCGCAATTTTTTGAAATCAAAACACAGAATTAGACTGACAGATATTTGATAACTTCAAAATAATTATAAAGATGCCTGCGAAAAGATGCCTGCGATGCAGGTGTAATTTCTGTTAAAAACTTCAAATTTCACATCGATAATTTTCTAATTTCAATATAATGTGATATCTTCTTAATATTGATTCGTCCGTTTTCCTGTCACAGAAGAAAATCGTGTATTATACACGGGAAAAATATAAGGTTCTAGCTCACGGCTTTTGGTCTTCCTCCGCTACGAGTCGGGAGACCAGAGACCAGACATTACTGTTCCTATGAAATACCGATAAGATGAATTATTGTTTCTATCAAATACGGGTCTGACTGACTACAGGTTCTATGAAATACGGGTATGATGAATTACCGTATTTATGGAGAGCGGGTTTGATGAATTACTGTTTTTATGAAATACATATCTGATGAAATACCGATTCAATTAAATACGGTTTCTATGAAAAGGTCACACGTCAAAATACGATTATGATGGTTTATTGGTTCGATGAAATACGGTTTTGAAGAATTACTGTTTCTATGAAAAACTGTTATGACGAATTGATATTCTGGTGGAATACAGTTCTGATAGATTACTAATTTGATGGAGAACTAGTACGATAGACTGATGTTGCGACAGAATACGGATATGATAATTTACTGCCTCGATAGAATATAGTTCTGATAAGATACATATATGATGGAATGATGACTCTTAGTAATACCATTTTGACATTTGATGATTTACGTATTGAAATTTCATATTTCGATGAAGTACGGCCCGATGTTTTACATTTTGATATTTTACGGTTCTACAGAATACAGTGTCAATTCTATACTATTTAGACGATTTACCAATTTGATGAAATATTTTTCTATGGATTTCAATTCGATACATTATATTTTGACACATTAGGTGTCCTCGGGAGACCACAGCCTGGAGCTGAAATCTACAACATTTTTCATATAAATAACTATTGTTTTCGACTCCAACTTCAAATAAACATATAAATAACAGCATATTAAACATTAGGATTGATCGTTGGAAATTGTTGATAGGGAAATAGAAAATACATCTATACGTGAACCAAATCTCGTTTATTTGACTCAAATTAATTTCAATTAGATGAAATAAATTGTTATTTGAAACGAGTAACGAATAGTCTCAATTCGAATATATTTTTTCTCTGTGTAACAGATGACTTTCAATTTTACAGATTGTGAATATCAAAAAGTATGTATATTACAGCCGTCGGCCGCCTTTTTTCTAAATTAACACTTATTTCAGAATGCTTGTTCAACAGTCATCATTTATATAACATCTATTTAACATTTTGTTAAAACTCAGTATATATTTCGGTAAACAGGCAACATTATTTCACAACAAGTCTTAATAATAATCATTTTTGCTTTTCATAAAAATAACATCAGTAATACACGTTATACTTTGATTATGGAAGTTGATATAATTGATCAAGAATTATATTCTTGCTAGATCCAGAGGGATAGAAAGTAGGTACCTATAGAGGTATTTAGAAAAAGGTTGGGTTTGGTCTTTGATGAATTGGGATGCCTTTTCTGAGAAACCTAACAGTAGGTAGGAAATTCCTTCCACAAAATAATTATTTTTGTATCTAGAGCGCGAAATGCTACTTTGGTGATCGAGATCTGAATTTTTTAACGAGGCGTAGCCGAGTAAAAAAAATAGTCGAGATGACCAAAGTATTTCGCGCTCGAGTTGCAAACAACATTTTTTCTACAAACGTGAAAAAATATAGTTCCAAAGTAAAAATATGCTCAGCTTGATATAAAAAATAGTGTTGAACTGGCTTAAAAGGCCTCCCCCTATCCTCCCTAAGTACGCACGATGTTCCACGAACCTAATAGGAATTTCCTTTCGTGCGCTCCAAGAGATGAAACAAAGATATTGTTGAATATTCAGAAATAAAAAATTTCGTGGATGTTTGCTCGATTGAGGACCATGAAGTTGAAATATAAATATCTCATATATTTTACATAACAATGCGCGAAGTAGGTACTTCGCGCACTGTTTTACTTCGCGCATTGTTTGTGCAAGGTATCATGGTAACGTAGGAAACTGAAAAAAAGTGTCACTTCGCAATTCGTTATCAATGCGCGAACCTTGTCATTTTTTGACGTTTGTAGGAAAAGGGAATTTTACAGTTTCAAAATTCCATCACTATAAATGTCTCCCCCTCTAACTCAGTTATTCTTAAACAGATTTCAAAATCTGGAATATCATCTTAAATGATTTTCGAATTTTTTTTCTCTACATCAGAAAATACAGGGTGCTCGGAACAAACGATCTACAGGGTACTTTTTGATTTTTTTATATGGAACACCCTATTTTTCATTGTATTTTTGGATTCTTCCTGAAGAGCTGGTTTGGTCAATGTATCACACTTTGGGTCTAGCGGGAATGATCACAGAGATATAAAGTGTTCAAAATCGAGATTTTTCAACTTTAGGATTTTTTTGAGACGAAACTATTCATCATCGGTCAAAACGGCTCTCATGTCCATATCTTTAACTTTGGATTTACTTTCTACTGACATTTAATAATTGGAACAGATACAGGGTGAATTAAATGTCAGTAGACAGTAAATCAAAAGTTAAGATGGAAACAAAGGAGCCGTTTCGACCAATAATGAATAGTTTCGAGACAAAAAAATCCTAAACTTGAAAAATCTCGATGTTGAACACCCTATATCTCTGTAATCATTCCCGCTAGACTCCAAGTGTGATACGTTGATGAAATCAGCTCTTCAGGAAGAATCTAAAAATACAATGAAATACAGGGTGTTCCATATGAAATAATCAAGTAGTACTCTGTAGATCATTTGTTCCGAGCACCTTGTATTTTCTGATGCAACGGGAAAAAAATTCTGAAAACTCATTTTAGATTATTTTTCAAATTTTTAAATCGGTTCAAAAATAAGTGAGCTAGAGGGGGGGGGACATTTATGGTGAATCACCCTGTACCTACAATGATATTTTATTATTTTATAATGGGTCAAAGTGGCGCGTATACAGCTTTAAGTCTTGGGGGAGGGGAGGGGGTGATTTCAGGTTGCCATAACACCGTCTTTGAGAAGGAACAGCAAGTCCTTTTATCGTCCATTTTTTTGAAAGCAAATCACAGAATTGGACTGACAGATATTTGATTACTTCAAAGAAATTATAAAAGATGCCTGCAAAAAGATGCCTGCAACGAAGGTATAATTTCTGTTAATGTTGTAATATCTTCTCAATATTGATTGGTCCTTTTGCCTGTCACAGAAAAAAATAGTGTATCATACACGAGAAAAATATTAGATTTTAGCTCGAATCTACTATTTTTTTCCATTGTATAATAAATAACTATTTTTGTGAGGTTACTAAGATGAACATTGAATGATAGATACATTTAATTGGAACTCACCAACTCAGGACTAATGAAACAGAAATATAATTCATCTATACACTATTGATAATAG